ATGCTGAAAGATTGCCATTCTCTGTCTTTTTCTTTCTGTGGTCCCACCTAGATTACTTGCAGCACTGTCATCCCTTAAAATATGCCATAACTATTTGATAAAACCATTTTTTTTGTGAGATCCCAGTTCTATTTGTGACTGCCATAACCAGCCTCGCTGGGGTCACTGCATTAAAAATGCTGGGGTTGCAATTTCAGGTGTGGCACTGCAGCCCTGTCTATGCAGGAAAGCACAGGAATGTTCTCCAGCTTATGTGTAATATAATGCAATGTAATATAATAATGTGCATAATGTTCTCCAGTTATACCTATAATGCACCTGCGTTCTTTTGCTCTGAAAAGAGTAGCTTTCTTTGATATTTAACCGTAACCTTTCACTGAGCATCCTAAGAATTTCAAGCCTTTTCAGTCCTTAATGGTTCCCAATAAGCATAAAGAGTACTGTATAGAAAATTTAAATGCACCAAAATTTGGCTTCCTTTGCATTGTTTTATTTAGGAGTGTCTTAAAAGTACCTTACAAGCTGTGGGCTGAAAGATCACTGATTTTAATCTAAACTGAAAAAGTTGCTCCTTTTGGTGTCTGCATGGCAGATTGTGCTGGTTTAACTGTTCAATTCATGTTAGAGTTCATCTGGGGAGGGAGGAGAAGGAAGCAGAAGAAAACTGCCACACAGACAAAGTTGGGTTGCTGAGATATTTTGAGGAATAATTAGTTTGAACAAATTAGGCTATTATCCTTATGCAATGCCAGGGAAACTGCATGATACAAACAAAGGTATTATTTTTCTTACTGTCATCTTCTTTATGGATAAGAAGGTGACTTTTCCACCATTCCAGGCAGCTTCATGAGTGCAGTAGAGTGATCTAGTTTTAAACATTAAGTATTATTTGGTACCTAGGAAATCACCCTTTTCAAAGCAACACCTAAAAGCCCTATGCAGCCTCAGGTCACTATTGGGGTTAGCTTGTGCTGAGAAGGATGTTCTGAATGGGCAAGGCAGAAGAAGGAAGAGTGAAAAAAAACCCAAACAGGACAAATGTGAGCACCTGATGCTGGAGGAGAAACCAAGAGGTTTCTATAGAGTCTGTGATGGGTGGAACTGGAGACTAAACCCAGGTTTCCTCAAGCTTGTCCTGGTGAGTCCTTAACCAAGCCCATCCCTTACCTAGACTACTTCAGATTTCTCCCCAGGAGGGGTAATCTTAACTACGGCTGGTGTGTATATATGTTTTTCTTAGTCTGTCTATTTTTTTTAGGAAATGAAGGAACCTGTATCCAAATAATACTTTCTTCTGTAATTTCTGACTCATTCTAGGTTACCTGTAAACATTTTCTCTTGTGGTACAGGGTGATAAAGAATAGGGGTCCCTACATATAAGTAAACTGAGACTGCTTTCTAGCTGAAAGCTGGCAGAATAAGGGTGAAGAAATGTATTTGAGACATGGGTAAAGGAAAATTATTTTGTAATATGGCCTTAGCAGTAGAGGAGGAAAATGTTTTCATGGTGTCTTTGTTTCTCACTGTTTACTTTGCCTCTCCTTTGCAAAACACCAGAGAGCCTCAGCCTATCCAGATGTAGTGACTTCATCTTGACTAAACTGTGCTGCCCCAGAGAAATAAAGATGTGTGTCTTGGTACTGATATTCATCATGAAATAAACATGGGTGTCAGTTGTAAAACAGTATATTCACTTTAGGGGCTTCTGCAGTTGTCATTAAATGTTAGCTCTACAGGAGCTCAGACAGCTCTGGCAGCTGAAAGAGAAGGATACCATAAACTGGGGTAGGAAGGAGAAATCCAGGAGGAGTAAACATGCAGAAAACATTTCAGTTAAACCGAGTTTCCCAGCTCTTGTGGGATGGTTACATTATCCTGGAGGACACCTCTAAGTGCTCAGATACAGCCAGGATCTTTGTTTTCCCTGCTGTATCTTTGCAAGTCCCTCCTTTCTGCATCAGGGATTGCAATGGCAGAATGCAAGAACTGACCTGCTTACTCGTTGGCAGGGGAGGGTTAGGCTCCCAATTTGGATTTCCCCCTTTCCTGCTTCCCACAGTAAGGCTCCAAATTTGCTGCAGTTTCCATCACACTATACACAGAAATGATGAAAGTTAGGAAAATTTTTCCCTCTGTTTCTTTTATTTTAGGAGAAAATGAGGAAATGCTAGACTGTGACTTGCCCAAGATTACACAAGAAATATTAGATGAATTGCTGTATTGGCTTTATTTTTGTGGTTTTACTTGGGCACTGTGAGATACAACAGTATGTAAAGAGATTCCTCTTTCTTCAGTAAGAGGAAGGATAGAATCATGCTTTTGGTATCCTGATGAAGTGGGGTTTTTTGTTTGTTTGCTTGCTTTGGTGTTTGTTTTCGTTTTTAATTTGTTTTGTTTTAAACTGTTTTTTTACTTTCATGCAGAAATGTATACATCAGACATTTCAGGAATATCATAACTTTGCTTCGCCTGGTTTTGCTGGAGGAATTTTTTGCAGGGCTGGAAAACAGGTGGAAGGCAGCTTTCTCAGCACATGCATAAGACTTCAGAGTTGCACAACTCTAATTTCCCCCAAATTCCCCTGCAACATATTAATTGAGTTTAGAAGGGCATCTTCTGGAGAAATACAGTGTTCCTGGCTGCTACCAGTCTTGTTATCACTTTAGATGAAGGTCTTTAATATTTAATTTTTTTTTAGCAGAGGTGTTATGGTCAAAGCCCCAAAGATGTATTCTGCTAAGACTCTCTTCCCTAGTTGCTTGCCTCTATGGCCTGAGCTCTCTTCTCATTTTGTTTTAGATATGAGTCAGTCTATTACCCAATCTGCTAATTGCTCACATATTGCTATCTCTCCCTTTTGGTATAAAATGCTGCCAATTCTAAATTGCCCATGCAGTTTGACAGGGTCAGATAGGGATATAAGCAAACAAAGCTTGGATGGAGCAGGGATAGCATCAGCCATATTGCATCCTAGTATGGTACGTTGGGACTCAAGATACCAAGTGCTGGGAGCAGCTTCTGGCCAAAAGAGAAGTTGCTACTCCCCCACTGCAGCCTTATGGGCAGACTCACCCACATGGCTTGGCACTGGCATTGGAAATACACAGAAGTCATCTCAGCAACTGATCCCTGATCCTGTTAGGGCAAAGGGGAGGAAGGGCAGGGAACCCAATTGCCCAGGTGGCAATTCAGTTGGTGCCACTGAGGCCATCACAGGACAGCCCTGATCTCCATGCAGGCACACAAACCAGTTTTGGGTACGAGTCTGAGCTGATGGGGTTTAGGATGGGATATACAACCACAGTCCCCACGGCCTGCTGCAAGTGCAACTGTTTCATGTGCCCTTTCTCTGCCTCTGACTTTAATTAATACCAGTTAGTGTGATGCCAGGACTACTCAGTAATTTCTAGGATACAGGAGGTTGGACCCATCAAAAAAATCCATTCACTGTCTTCAACAAAGAAATCTTTTTTTCCAGTTATTTGTCTGATGTTGGGCAGTTTTTTTAAGCAGATCCAAACCAAAGCACTTATTCAGTTGGTTTTTCACACAAAGTTTTGCTATTAATGATTTACAGCAGCCTAGATTTGGGCTCCAGTTCAGTACAGACCTATGACAAAAGACCAACATCTGCTTTTCCCATCTTGAAGACAGTTGAGATTTTTCTAGGTTTTAAATGCCACCTAAAATGAGCCCTCCTTAAAATACATGCTCTTTATATGTTAAAGCAGCAGCAAGATACAGAAGAAAACTTTTTTTTCCCTTTGCAGGTCAACCTTAAGGTCAGCACTATAAGCCTTTTGTAACTCCTTGATTTTTTAAACTGCTTTCTTTTCCAAGTTGAATACCTCTGACTTTAAAAAACAAACCAAAACAAAACACTAGACCTTTTCCCCTTGCAGGGGACACCTACAATGGAGTAACCAACAGGACCTAAACCAATTCTTGAATATTTCATCCTGGTATTTGAGTTGGTATTTGAGTTGGGCGGGGATCCATGAAGCACTAAGAAAAAAATCTCAGCTGCTGCTGTAGCAGCTACAGCAAGGCAGATAAATTAGTATATGGCAACTGGGAACTCTGAAATTCATTCACCTCTGAAATGAAATGAAAGTATTAAATATAACATCCATTTGTTAAGTAGTTGCTTGTGACATACAGCTCCTGCTCTGAGACTTAAAAAAATGTTTTAAGTCTGCCAGGCAGACCCCTGTGGATTCCATCACTATAGAAGGCCATCTAGCATCTTTTTTTCTTATTGTAAAATTCGTGCCAGGACAAGGGGAAATGGAGACTCAAATGAAAATTCTTGACTTACCCTGTTTGTTTGTTTATATCCCTGCGATGGAGGCAGGGGCAGCATCTGGCCTGTGAAAGATACAGGATGTTTAAGCTTGACCTGGGTGCTGCTCAGCCCTGCGTACCTGCCCCCAGCACTACTCAGGCCTCACGTCACAAGGCAGAGTTTCTACCTCTTTCGTAGCGTAATGTGTTTATAGGAGCAGGTGGCATGTTTACCGGGGGGGAGTGGGGTGGAGAAGGCAACAAAAGATTGTCGTTGAACGCACTTTTCTTTGAAAACTAATGTTTCGCATAGGAGTGACTTTAAAAAGCATTTGTTTTGGTGGGAGGAGAAAGGCAAAAGCGAACCTCCATTTGGGAAGAAAACAACCACTCTTTTTCCTGGGGACAAAAAAAGGGGGGAGCGTCCCCGCTCTTAACTTCTAAATCCACCAGAGAAACACGCAACGAGCTCTCTTCTCCAAACTTCCCCGCTGGTTATGGAGTAATTGCTCCCGAAGGAACGAGATATAAAGAAGAACCCCCTGAAACCCCACCTCCTTCCCATGCGGCCAGGTGTACCAACGCGCGGGACACGCCGGGACGGTGCGCCCCCGCCTGCTCCCGGGATGCGGTGCGAGCTGGGATCCTCCATCCCAGCCCCCTCCCTGGCGGCGGCGGGAGGAGGAGGAGGATCGGCTCCAGCGCCTCCCCCCTTCCCCGCCTCCCTCCTCGCCGAGCGCAGCGCCCCGAGCATGGATCCTGCTTGAGCAGCTCCGAGGGCTCCGGCGGCTGCTGCGGCGGCACAACATGGAGGCGGCGGCCCCGCCGCTCCCGCTGCTGCTGCTGCTGCGGCTCCTGGCCGCCTCGGTGCTGCGCTGCGAGCCGGGCCCGGCCGGGGGTAAGCTCGCCGGGGCGTCGCGGGGCCCGGGCCGACGGGGAGGCGAGCGCCGCTGTCCCTTTTGTTGTCGGACTTGGGCAAACTTTCCCCCGCGCTCCGCCGGGAGGGGCGGGAGCGGGGCCAGGCTCCCGCGGGGGGAGAGGACGCGCACATGGACGAGACGGGGCGGGAGGAGGACGGGAGCCTGGGTGCGTCGTTTACCCCTCCACTCCCAAACTGTTCCGCCTCGCCCCTCTTTTCTTCAAAACGGGGGCGCAGGAAGAGGAGGCCTCTCCTCCCCCTTCCCTCGGGACATATCCCGCTGGAGGGGGGGAGGGGGGAAGCGGTCTCCCCCCGGGATGGCTCAGGTAAACGCGTACAGTTGCAAAAAGAGAGACAAAAGTCGCCCCCACCCCCCCAGCCCCCACCCCTGTCCTTCCGCGGTCCCGGGCAAGGATTTCTCTGGAGTTTGGAGGGGTCGGTGTCGGGTGTCGCTCAAACTCTTGGCAGGGCTGGGGAGGGGGTGGGGGGAAGGCAAGTTTGGTGTGTGTGTCCTGCGTGTCCCCCCTCCCACCCCAGCTCCGTTCTAAGGCTTTAGGCGGGCGACGGGGGGTGGCGCTGCAGCGGGAGGAACCGGCCGGCCCGGCTGGAGGCGGTGGGCGGGGGTCCGGGTCCAGCCCGGCCCGGGTGCGGGTGCCCGGCCCGGGTCCAGCCCCGCCGGCGCTGCCCGAGCTGGAGCCCCTGCCCCGGGCCGGCCGAGAGCTGGGCCCCTCGGCGGCCCGCGCCCCGTCCCGGGCACGGAGCCTGCCCTTTGCTTTGCCTTGCAATACCGTCTTTAAGTGAGTGTGCTAATCCTTTCAAATCACAAATAAACGGAGGCGGTGCTCTGCCTGCAGCATCCGTGGGGAGCGGACCTGGGTCCGTTCTCCTCTGTTTTTCCTGCGTGCTGTTCCGGTCCAACTTTGTCTCTCCCAGGACGGGGGGTTCGAGCTGTATGTGTAAGACTTCTGGTTTTTTGCTGCTGCATCTGGTCTGCCTGAATACCCGGTGCTTCAGCAAGCTGAAGCCTAGTTGTTGCGATTTCCTAGGTAGTTTAGAAAACTCGGCAGTGTGGCCAAGGCTGTCAGAACATCACCTCAGGGCCTCTTTTTATTAGGCCACCCACCTTTTCAAACCTCCTGTAATTATTAGAACTGTCATTTAGAGCAAGAGAACCGACCATTTTCTGCTGGCATCATCATTCTGTATTTTTAGTTGGAGCTCTATGTGGGTGTGTATTATTGTATTGCTTATTCTGTCAAGATTATATGAAAAAGATGCCCTTCGTATCTTAAGATGCACCTTCTCCATGCACATTACCACAGTCTTTTAAAAATGTTTCAGAAAGCCTGAAGTGTGGCTTGTGCCTTTCTGAACGCTTACGTTTGTGTAAAGGTGTTCACATTCCTGCTTGACTGAATGAAGCTAGTGTAGCTTTAGGGGAAAAAAAATCAACTTCTGGGAGTCTTAAATGAAGGCTGATAGTGTTCTTTAAGGATTTCCTTAAATTTACTTAACAGACTCTAATAGAAAGAGATATTTTAAAAAAGAGATAACTTAGGAAAATAAGTTCATGATAAAACTAAGGAATAAGTTGTAACTTGGAGTTTGGTTTTCGTTCACCTCCTTTTAGAAACACTGGTTCTTTTAATGTAGTGTATGTTCATCATGAATAATCCTTAATTCCTTAACATGCATGGAAGAACTCTTCTACAAATGTACCATTTCTAATAATTAGCTAAAGAATCTTGGTTATAAATCTTAATGACATTGCCTTTGTTCTGCCTACTTAGTAGGAAAGTATGTGATTCTTTTGTCGAGTTGATCTGGACAGTACTTTTAAGGACAACTCATCTGTCCTTTTAGAAGGAGTGTGGATGTACTGTGAGGGGCTGTCCATGGTTTTAGTTCCATTTCTGAGAAGCCTCATTCTGTAAGGACATGCCTGACTTTTACCTATTAAAAGTATTTTGATGTGCTTATCTTACAAATATGTAAATACATCTCTGCACATTAGGTATTTGATGGAGCTTCTGCAATATTGGAGCTTCTGTAATATTAAAGCTTCTGTGAAGTTTCACATGTTATAATAGATCTTGAATACTTTGACTGTGAAATAATTTTGCTGTAGAGCTAAGTTCTTGCTCTGTATGTGGTGGTGTCAGGAGTGGTTTTATTTATGTGGCTTGAAATAATGATAAACCTGTTACAGATATGGGTTGTACTTGACTCTCATTTCACTGTGATAAGGCAAAATGGTCATTGCAATTGGTGCTTCCTTGAAGGCTGGAATCTCTTGCCTATGCAAAGTATTTTATGCTTTTGTCTGAAAATATTGTAAGTTCTGGATGCTTAATATTGCAGAGAAGGTATTTTATGTGGGACTCTTAAAACCTCAACGTTAAGTTCTTGTTTAAGGAGAATCTTAAACAAGAATTATTTTTACTTAAACTCACAAATGCTTTATTAGCTGTAACTTGTCATGCACTAGGATGTTTCCTGAAATCATGAGATCATATCTTAGTTTTCTTTAATGGAACTATTTGCTTGATATCAAGAAACAGAAGATACAGAAAGGTAAACAGAGAAGTGTAACAGGATGGTCACAAATGCTTGAAACTAGGGATGCAGCATGAAATAAAAAATGCATTTGAGCACAACCCTAAAATGGCTTTTAATCTATACTGTTTTTCCTGAGATGACCTAAAGCTAGTGAAACATATCACTATTTTTAAATGTAGAATGTAGCAGTAAAGATCACTTACTAGTTTTATGACAGGTAAATGTGCTATGTAGGAGTCCTCAGCTGCATTTCAGTGCCGTTTCAGTCAGTCCATCTGATTTAGGGGGCTGTTTTCCTATTAACTACTACTAGCATGATGTGAGGGTCTGTCACAAATCATAGTCATAAATCCTCTTGAAATAATAGGAAATACTGAAAGTTCAGACTGAAGTTTTAAGTTGATACTTTCAAAGCACTGAATCTTCTCTCTTCAAAGTTAGATGGCTTTAACTGTCTTTTAGGTATAGTGTGGGAATTCATTTGTTGTTATTTCATTTTAAATTAAATTATTTAAAATTTAAATTAACTTTCAAGCATCCAGAGATGCTGTAAAATCACTTATACTATTGATGTGTCTGAAGTACATAGATTAGCATGACATACAAAGTCAGTACTTTAGAATAATGTGAATGTATTTCATTGATATCCCAGTATAAATTCCACCATTGCCTCTTGCTGCTTTAGCTTAAGAATTTATGTTTTACTTATGTATAATATAGTTGTTAGTAGAATAGACCATGGGCTTTGTTGCACCTGTAAATTTTCTCAGTCCTGCATGTTTCTTGAATAATGCAAGCCAAGGTAACTTTTTAGCAAACACAGGGATTGTTTCTGGGAACTTGTTATCCTTTGGTGTTTGGGTAAGGTTTGGCAGCATAACAACAAATAAAGGTTACAAAACGTCTCCTAGAGTATAGACTCATGTGACTTATTATAAAAGAGTGTCTACTGTAACTTTGCTTCTAGTTAAAAATTAGCCAGTAGTGCACAGTTAAAAGCAGTTGTTCCTCTTTTTGTCAAAGCAGAAATAAATTTCACTATTGGTGGTGCTCAGAAGCAGCTATAGTGATGAGGTGTAGTGTCCTGTTAAATCAGTATTTCTTGTGAACGTACTGTATTGTATGAAAGCAGCGTGATGTCTTGAGACTGAGAACAATAACTATATTTAAATTCCTTGTTAGAATGAAGAGAAATAAAGTTATGTACAGTAGCTTCTTTCTAAGAAATTCGCTTATTTTTTTCCTTATGTGTTTAACCCAAACTATTAAACATTCAAAATGTTTGGCATCTGTAAGTTTGGGATTTCTCTTGGGAGTTTATATGACTGAAAAAAAGCACAGCACTGAGAGCACTTTAAGGAAATAGATGTTATTTTCTGCTCAAGGCGTTTGTGAAGAACTTAAATAGGTACCAACCCAAGCCTCAGGAATAGAATAAGTATCCCCCCAGTTTGTGGCACAGGCCAGCAGCGATGCAGCTCTACTGTGCACAATGGAGAAGAGCATTTTGTTTAGAGATTTTGAGGCATGTGGATTATTCTCTTTTCCACTATTCTGCTTTCCAGCATGTTGGACATGTCGAACAACTGCAAGTTCACATAGGGCAGGAGCACATAATTAAGATATTGGCTAGGGATGCTGGCTAGCCAAACCCATGTGCTGTTTGGACACTTGGAACTTTCTGAAGAAGGCAAAGATGTGCCATCTCCTGACAGCTCACAGCTGGGGCTTCTGAACTGGAAAAAGCACCTCTGGAGAGTCCTACCCCTATTGAGTTAGGCTATGGAAAAAATCATGATAGAGTCAAAAGATCTTTTTAGCAGTTCTTGAGATTTTCTGTGATGAAACAGTTGTGGTGAGAGGAGGAAAGAAAATGGGAACTATGTCCCACAAAGTATTGTTCAGTACAGTTGTTGCTTAAGAGTTTACAGGCCAAGAATTCTTTTGGTTTCTTCTCTCTTGAAAAAAATCAGAGTGTGGAACTCACCAGTGTCTCATCTTTGTGGTTTCTGTTTACTAAAGATTGAAAATATCTGTTAAGCCACACAGTTCTACTGAGAAGCTCCGAAGAGTGTAAGGAATGGCTGGTGGGCTGGTAAGGGTGTTAACAGTCCATTTAATAAACAAGATTTTTAATGTAATTGTTCTTTCCTTTATTCTTGCTTGACTCACACTTTGCCTGCTAGCACAGGCAGTTGTAAGGTGTCATTTTGTATTGATGTTAAATGCATGGGTGACTTTTGCAAGGATGCCAGTAAATTGACACAGTCTTGATTTAAATTGGTGTGTTTGCTCTGGATGATAAAAGGGTTAAAGCAATTGAAACCGCTTTTAAACCAATAAATAATTTGTACGTGTGGTGTGTCAGATTAACTTAATAGAACAGCCTACTGGGAGAAGGAATTTCTTGACTTTGAATC